ATAATAATAATAATAATAATAATAATAATAATAATAATAATAATAATAATAATAATAATAATAACAATAGTAATAACAATAATATAAAAAAGGAAAAAGGTATCAAGTAGCAATAAACAAACAAACAATAAAACACAATGGAAAAAAGCACTTTCTTATTATGTTGTTGAACCTGTTGCTAATGAATCTGCGATAGCGTTGTTTTTCTTTTTCTTTCTTCTTCTTTTTATTGTTAAGTTTCTGTGCGTCTGTCTATCCATCTATGTTTGGCATCCACGTGTATCCATGTTCTCGTGTTGATGTCGAATAATTTCATTTTTCATTAGATCTAGGCCTATATCTTACTTTTTTATCAAGCTGCTATTCTTTCTTCCGTTCTTTATCTGTTTAACCATATCCGTTCGTCGTGTTTTACTGTCGTATCCATACGACGTGGGGAACTCTGTGCCATCACTTTCTAAAGAGGAAATTTACTCATTAATCCGATCCATACGCTTTGCATAGCAATCTGTCAAAATGATTTTTTGAGAAATACTGAAAGTTTCAACAGAGATCTTCGTATTAGAAGTTTTCTAAAATGTGAAGAATACAACCCTGGGGGTACAAAATGACCCCTGGGCGCACGGACAGGGTTTAAACAGTTCTTTGGGGCTTTTTGTGTTTAAAAAAAAAAAGAAACAGCAAGGATTATCGTTTGTTTTTAGGCTTAGCGGCAATTGTCATGGGGAGCTGTAGAAACGTATGTGGTGGCTAACGGCTGTGTGACTTTTGGTCTTTGTGGCCCTCGCAAATTGCATACGGTCATCTATAATCTATTTGTGGTGGTCGAATTTGGCTATTCAAAAGGCTTTTTAATGGCTGTATCGATCGACATGGGGTTTTCGCCAAAGGATTCTTTAAAATATTCTCCAGACCATGACGCCCTTCATTTTTTCAGTTTTGAGACAATTTTGCAACAAAAAGTTAAATTTCTTTATTTCGCCGATCGCTTTTGTAGGCCGACGCTTCTTTCTCTGTAATTTTAGAAAATCTGGCGCGGAAGGGATATTTTGCGAGGCGCATTTTGTTTGGAGAGTATAGATCTAGACCTTCTAATTTTTTGCCTCTCCCAAGATGTATTGTTCCATTCCAGTAGAGAGTAAATATGATAGTAGGCCAATGACTTTCAGTTGATGTTAATGCACCGATCATTCCTTTCGTCGAAAAGGGGCCCAGCTAGTAATAATAATACGTAATAATAAAAGTGCGTATGTGTGACTTCACTAAAGACCATAGTGTTTGCGCTGTATTGGTCTGCATAACTTCTTGTCCTTTGATGAGGGTGTCATCAGTCAGCTTATCAGGCTCATCAGTTCGAGGAAGTGTGGGAGAAAAATATTGTTACTCTGCACTTTGCCACGCCATCTTTTACGTATTTGCAGTCGATCTCTCTCTCTCTCTCTCTCTCTCTCTCTC